TGGTTCATAGCCAGCTTCATTCCTCCGGGCTCAAGACATGATGATCAGGAAGCAGAGACTCCACTGCCTGATACAAAAGATACACCCAAAAGCATGCTCTCACTGCCCACTGTCCCACCCTGTCTACCAGCCACAGGCTACCTGCTTTCAGTTACCACTCAGTCAATCCCTATCCGGGGATTAATTCACTAATTGGGGTAAGGCTCTCATAACCCAATCATTTCACCCCTGAATGTTCTTGCACTATCTCACACATGAACTTTTGGGGGACACCTAATATCTAAGCCATAACATTCCACCCCAGGTCCCAAAAGCTAATGCTCATCTCACAATGCAAAATACATTAAGTCCATTTTCAAGAGTCCCCATAGTCTCAACAATTTCAAGATTGCCCAAGAGTCCAAATCCAAAGTCATCACTGAGACTCAAGGCAAACTCTTAAGTGTGAGCTCCTGTAAAAATCAAAAGCAAGTTACATATGTCCAATATATATTATATTCTTTACTATAACCAGACAAAACTTTTATATCCCATTTTAAAGAAGAGGTAATTAAGAATGAGAAATATTAAGGGAGTATAGATGCACCTTCTGTGTATAGAAACAGGATTCAAATGCAGGTCAGTATTGAAATGCCTGTGCTTCTTTCATCATACCACACATCCCAGTTCCCAATACCTTGACCCAACTCTCTACCTCCATCCAGCTTCTTTCCTCTTGAGCACCTAAGAAGGCATGGTGCTCTCAAAAGTTGTGAATAATAAAATCAAAGATTCTAAATGTTAATTTTGCCTCCTGGGGTATATTTGTCAATAGTTGGGAGGCATTTTGCTTGTCACTAGGTAGGTACTAATGGCACTTAGTAGGCAGAAGCCAGAGATGTCTAAATATCCTGCCATGCATAGGACAGCCTCTCATATTAAGAAATTCCACCAAAAAGGTAAAACTGCAGAGGTTGTAAAGTCCTGACAATAAGAGCTAGGTTAGAGCAGAGGTGCAGTTGCTTCTGACCACAGGAACCAAGCAAGTAATGTGAATGAATCAAACAGGACAGATATGAGGGGGAAACACAGCTTTTATCATCTCTCTTTTCCATACTCGGGTTACCTTTATTATGTTTGTTTTATAAATGGCATTTTATTTTAGTCCCTCACAACAGACATGCTCCATGTGCATATTTAACTTCTACATTTTTCACTTCCCCTCCTGAAACATGGAGCCTTCTCTAGCTATCCCTCCCTCTCCCTTCTTCTAATAAGGGATGAGGGTACAAGAAATATATAGACATGTCAGATAACAAATGGCAACTGACAGCCACAGTTTAGGGAAAATAATAGAGATCAGAGAAAGCTATGGCAACTGGACTATCCACGTCCCCATGTAAAGAAGAATGTGGATTTATGTAGTTCTACCAGATTGCTGCCGTGTAGTTCAGTGACGCTCAGGACAGGCAAGATATTAAACTTTAAAAACCACCGATGTTTCTGTCCACCATCACATCCTAACCTCCATATTCAGCTTTAAGTGGTTTTATGTGTGCGGCTTGATCATCAGGGCATTTTAAAGTTTCCAGGTGACTTTAGTATACAGCTAAGATTGAAAATCACTGCTCTAGTGCAGGTCTCTCATTTTACCTGTGCATAAACCAAAGCTCAGAAAAGCTAAACTTTGCTCAGACACCCAAGAAGTTTAAACAAGCATAGAATCAGAAAATAAATAAAAGTTCTAGAAAGGTATTGTTTCAAACCATGAGGTTCATAAACACCTTTTTTTTTAATAGAAAATCAGGGTATACTGCACATTATAGAGTCAACATTGTTACACAGAATTTGTGTTTTTAATATGTGCACATTGCTGGTTAGTCTCCATTCTCTTTCCTTCTCTGCTTTGTTCCTAGCCCCAGGAAGCTCACACTATATAGAGTGTTTCAGTAATGTTGGTTGGTTCTGCCAATAAACAGCACTAGTGGGAGACCAGAGCGTGGGAGCTGAGTGTTTGAATAGCGCTTCTTGGTGACCTTGCTCCTACAACACAGCTTTCACTGGGTATAGCTCCTGATGGAGACCCACTTCCCCTTCAGGTTGGAAGATGATTCCATGTTCCCATCGTTGACAGTCCCTGGGTGCCTTAATGGTGCCTTTATGGTGTCCCTAAACCTGCTCAAACTTCTTCTCTTTTTTTAAATTGGTATATCATGATTATACATCATAGTGGGATTCACTGCATATTTGTACATGCATATAACATTGTTTGATCAATTTCATTCCCCAGTACCTCCCCTTTTCCTCCCCTAATCCCACCCCCATCTCCTTAATCTACCCTACTGGACTCAAATCTGCTCATACTCCTAAAAATAATTCATTAAGTGTTTCCAGCTAGACCACTGATATACATAAATAGATTAATAGTCACAAATATCTATTTACTTACTGGGTTGCATTTTCAGAGGTGTAAGCAGATTTAACTTAACTGTATTATTTACTGTGGGCTGTGGTTGAAAAAGTCTGGGAAATATTGTCAATATTCTTTCTACATCGCTGCCTTCTTTGGCTGATAACAGGAAGCTATTAGGTTAAAAACTAAATATAAACATTTTAAGAGCCCCTCTTTACAACTGTTATCATTAAAAAGCTAGTAAATAATTGTCAAATAAAAAATATATTAAAACATAATTTTAAACAATGCTTAACATTGCCCAACAATGGAAAGGGCCCCCTTAGTAAGGCTTACCAGTGCCTAGCACATGTGGAAAAGAGCCTTAGCCACCTTCTAACTCTTAAAAATCCATCCTTCTTTCATGGAGCTTCCTTTTCTCTTTCTAAAGAGAAGTGAATCCATTTTTTATCACAGCTTAATATTTAGTTGTTTACTTGATCACCTTCAAATTAACTCTCAAAGAACCAAAGAACCTGCAATGCCTCTCAATAAAGAAGGCCAAAGAGCTATTTTAAAAGTTTCATTTTCAAATACTATTCAGTGTCAGCTTAACACTCATTCTGGGAGGGAAAAGGAAAAAAGAGCCGAGGCAATTTTCAAAAATGTCTAAACTGTTCCTCTCTGCAGTATCTGAGATGCTTTCTGATGCTTGGGCAAGGCATGATGGTAGGGAAGGATTAGGTATAAAATCAGTCTATGAGACAATCTCTAGACCACAGTTTGTTCATCCAATCTCCATACATCTGATGACCATGGACCAGGATAACACCCAAGAATATGATCTCCCACTTTACTGTACCGCCTTCCAATGCCCAAAGGGAAAGTCAAGCAAAGTGTCACAATATTACATTGATAATTATATTTCAATATGAACATAACTAAATTCAAATACAAGCCAATCAATATAAGAAGACTCAAATACAAGAAAAGAAAATATGCAGATAATAACAATAGGAATTATATAATTATTCCAGGGTTTTTTTTTTCCCTCATTGCCACTCCCTGAAGAACCAATGCCATTCCTTCCATATTTTACTACAAAGTGGTTACTGTTTATACTAGCCTTTCAAGAAAAGTGCAAGTTTATTCTGCCCTAAGATCTCCAAACAGTATTATGCAGTTGCTTTTACAATAGGAACTAAAATTTGTTAAATGCTTTAGAAACAAAGTACTTTCCCAAGCCTCACCCACCCCTTTTAGTTTTGCTCCTCAAGACATCCCTATGGAGTAAGTAGGGCATGTGATAATTCCACATAACAAAGAAAGAAGGCTTGCAAAGGAAGTAACTTGAGACTTAAACCAAACTGAACTGATGTGCACTGGCTCTGAAGGTCTGCCTCATCCTCTGTATCATGCTGCCTCCCCAAGGTGAACTTAACCTGCACATTGGCCAGGTTTTCAAGCTCGCTTCTGAGGAAAAAATATAAGGGGGGAGGGGGGGGTTGATATTGAATTTTTCTAATCTTAAATCTACAACTTAAAAAAAGTACCCTAATAACAATACCAACCTCCCTGAGCCCATTAAAACGCACATAGTGATGATGACTGGCTTTTTATGATTGACTGGTTTCTTAATGATGCCTGTGATCTCACTGGAAGCCGATTCTGCTGTGCTCTATTTCTTCGTCTATATGGAATTGCAAACTCTTGGCTAAGAGAACTTTCGGTCACGAAAGGAATTTTAAAAGATAACAAGGAATAAATCACCAGTAATTAAATAATTCAATAGCCAAAATCCATTACGGCAATATAGGAAAAGGGCAGTGTTACTGCATTTCACTGGTTGACTTAGAAAAATTAGGCCTATTTCCAAACTGCTATAACTTGCCTTTTTGTAATGTCAATCAGGGAACAAAGGAAACCTGAAGTCAGTCCACAATACACGAAATGTTTCAACTTTCTTTTCATCACATCACACATCATCCATTTGGTGTATGGTAAAAGGATGGGAGAGAGGCTCTCTTCACCAAACGTCCCCAAACCACCAGGGAAGGTTAAGGCTCTGGCATCCAAAAGACAATACAACCTGGAAAGTGACGTGTACAGGGGAATCACAAATAAAGTGCCACCAGCGGTGTTTGCGGCCAAGAAGAAAACAGCACGCTAAAATTAATTATAAGTTTGGCAACTTTCTAGGACAGGCATCGTGCGTTTGCTTCAGTCTCCACTGAATCGCTCCCACCAAAAGCAAACCATCCTCGCAGTAAGGGGCCAAATAACGGGAAGGCACCAATCAGCAGCGCTCTAGTCTAGTTAGCGCAGACCTGTCCATTTGCGGACAGGCCGGGCAGCTGTTGATCTGGGGCCATTTTTTTTTTTTTTTAAAGCTTAGACAGACAGCGGTGGGAATGGTGCGCCAAGAGCTAAGCTCCGGGAACAGGAGAGGAGGAGGTAGGAACGTCCCAGGAAAGAAGTCAGAGAAAGCTGCAAACTGGCGGGGACCATCCGATCAGGTCGGGCGGCGGAAGCAAGAGGAAAGGGACACGAGAGGAGAGGAAAGGAAAGAGACGAGCCATGCCTCAAAGTTCCGCGTCCCGCCAGCGCTCGCGCGCTTGGGGCTGCTCACCTAGCAGAAGCGTGGTCCAGGTCCGGCCGCGCCCCGCGCGCCGCAGGCCCAGCGCCCCGCGCAGCCCGGCCACCAGGCGCCCCCCCAGGCCGACCCCGGCGGGCGACACGCCGGGCTCCGCGCGGGGCCCCTTCCTGCCCGCAGCGCCCTTGCGCCCTGGGGACGGGGACGCGCGCTCGGGTCCCGACTCCCCGGCGCCGACGTCCGGAGCCCCTCTTAGCGGCGACTGCGAGGCGCGGGGCGGCTGGGGCGGCTTGGGAGCCGCCTCCCGGTGCTTATTCCGCGCCTGCAGGACCATCTTGGCATAGTCGCGCTCGCTCGCTGCGCGCGCCCGGACGGCGGCTGGGGAACCGCGGGCTGGCTGGGCGGCCGGCGCCGCTCACTCTCTGGCTGGCGGGCGGGCGGGCGGGCGGAGGGCGGGCCGGTCCCTCCCCGCGGGCTGGGAGGCGGGGAGAGCACGAAGGCCGGGCGGCGGCTGCCTGCTTGGCTATACGGCCAGGAGGCGGCGCCGGACTCGGGCGCCTGCCGCCGTTGCCGCCGCTCCGGTTGTCACGGCGACCGCGGAACGCCGGGGGGCGGGGGCGGGGACACCCTGCGAGCAGCGCGGCCCCGCCCCCACCGCCCCTCCGCGCCGGACGCGCGCTCCAGCTGGCCAGCGCGCACGCGCAGACTTCCGGCGCAGGCGGGGCCCGATCCTGCGGCCGCCTGGCGACCCCCGCCCTCCTCCCGGCCCTCTTGGGGCCGGTCTTCGGCTGGGGCGCGGACGGCCTTCCGGAAACTATCGCTCTGCCCTTCTGGGAGAGGCGGGGAAGAAGGAAGAGCCTTCTGTAGGCGGAGTCGCTGGTCGAAGTTTTGGAGCGGATGAAGGCTGTCATGGAGCCCCGCGGAGCTCGCGCGTCCGAGGCGGCGCGAAGGCAGCGGGGCGGGGCGGGCCGGACGCCCGTGTCCGGACAGCGGGAAAGGCTCCCGAAACGGCCACGGAGGGGCGCTGTGCGTGCGATCTGGAAGTTTCGTCAGCTAGCTGTGGCTTGTAGATAAAAATCAAGCCACGATCTACATTTACTCCACTCTGTATGGTCTGGCTACTCAGAACGCTACCAAGTGCAACTTCCTCTTCACGATGCGCAGAAACGTTCACGATCCGATTTTTAGGAGAAACAAAGTATCTTGAGGGGAGTCCCTAGGGGTTGAGTGTAAACTGAAAACTAGGAAAGAAGCTCCAAGCTGGAGTCATAAAATGGAACAGGTCCCAAGCAGGAATGATCATTGGACAAGTTAAGTTGTTAGTTTCATCTGCGGTAACTTTGTCTTTTTTTTTTTTTTTTTTTTTTTTAGTTGTAGGTGGACACAATACCTTTATTTTATTTATTACTTTCATGCAGTGCTGAGGATCTAAACCAAGCGTGCTAGGCAAGCACTCTACCGCTGAGCCACAACCCCAGCCCGCCTTGTCTTTTTTGATAGAAAGAAAGCAGAAAATGTTTATGTATTGATAAGATGGGAGACTTTACTCGAAAACGGTTTTTCATTTTCATAGCAGGAGAATGCATGAGTAAATGAAGACCAGGAAAATGCAGAAAACCTGGCAGATTCCAGTTGACCCTCCTTCCCTCCGTCCCACCATTATTTGTACAAAGACCCAAAGCCTCATAAATTACAAAGTAGAGAATCTTTTCCTTGCTATGCTCACGGGTCTTGTTCCAAAAAGTTGTCTTTAAAACATGAACGGGGCACTGGGTTGGATCCTCAGCACCACATAAAAGTAAAATAAAGATATTGTGTCTGCCTAAAACTAAAAAATATTAAAAAAAAAAAAAAACCTATAGGCCCGATGCCTTGGCCCATGTCTGTAATCCCAGAGGCTCAGGAAAGTGAGACAGGAGAATCTCAAGTTCATAGCCAGCCCCAGCAATTTAGGCCCTATCTGGAAATAAAAGGATGTTGGGAGCTGAGGATGTTGCTCAGTGGTTAAACACCCCTGAGTTCAATGCCTGGTACCAAAAAACGATAAAAGACATTTTGTAGATCTAGTCACACTGTTTCACTTTATCTCCATTGTTATTCCAGGTATTTCACTTGTCTATAAGTTCTCACCCTGTATTTCTTTCATACTGATTATTTTATTAATATTAGTGTTCATTCACTGTTACACTTTTTAAAAGGGCATTGGGTTCTTTTGTAAATGGAAAGAATTTCCCCATGCTAATTGATAATTCCTCATGCTTTGTATATTTTGCGAATTTTGATGTTTAGATAGACGCTGGTTTTTAAAAGATAAAAGTGAAATGCAGAAGGCATGGATTCTGAAACAGTGTGTCAAATGAATTCAATGTCCTCTCTCAGATTAATGCTGAATTTATTGCCCACCAGGTTAAAAAATAATAATTCGATGTCTATTAAAGATAATAATTTGATGCTTGACTTTAGAAAGACACATGAATAAAAGGGTTTAACATTTGATCTACAATATTGGATTGCTTGTCACTCTCCTATGAATGGATTTAGGAACTGCTTCCCTTTAACTGGTACAATTTTGCCAGAGAAAATGGTGCTGAATGAATAAATTCATGCATAAATGCAGGAGATAACATAATCAAATGATCATAATCCTGAAAGTTACTTAGCGCTAGCTCTCTTCTGCCCATGGTCTTAAATTTCTGGAATATACACAATCTTTCCTCTTCATCTTGTTCCTCAGAGCCAAGCCCAGAGGCTGGCTATAAAGTTTATTCAATTGCATTGAAAAAGGACCACTTATAAAAGATACACTGTAAGTTTTTATCACTTCCACGTCTGTACTTGGCACCCATGTGGACAATCCCAGAAAGGGGTAGCAAAGGGTGTTAATTTTGGGGGTTTTTTATTTCTGTTTTTTGTTGCTGTTGTTGTTTTGTTTTGTTTAAGGTTCCTTTAGGCCTATATTTCACCCCCCTTGCCCTACCTATACTGGCCCTGTGTCTATGGCCAGGGTACTCTAACTTTTTGAATCTCAGTTTCCTCATCCCTACAATGGGAGTAATATAAACATCTACCTCAGTTTCAGAAGAGTTAAATAAGACTGTATAAAGTATCTTACTATTATACCCATCAAAGTTATTGCTACATGAATGTTCAAAGTAATTGTCTGAATCAAAGTAAGTGTTGAAGGCAGTGGATCAACAAGGAGGATGGCAAGCACTCTGTCCTCCTAGAGTCTAAGGTTGGCAATCCAGGATGGACTGTGGGCCAGAGAATGAGAGAGGCATAAGGCAGGTGATCAAGCACAGCCCTGCAATCTTGGGACCATGCCAGAGTCTGGCTGGGCACAATTCAGGAGCCACTTGTCAAAAGAAACGAACTTTATTTTTAGAACACACACACACACACACACACACACACACAGCACCACACAGCTCCTGAGGAAAACCCTCAGAGCCTAACTGCCACCACCGGCTTCCCACAAGCCTCTCAACCTCCCCCACTCCTCCTGCTCTTGAGGCCGATTGGCTGGGTCATGTGGGCGGAGCCAAAAAAAGTCCCCCAATGAGTAGCTCCATGGTCTGAAAGGGCGGGAAACAGCCCAATGAGCATCACAGCAGAGGAGCCAATCAGTTGGCAGCTAGAAGTTTGCAGGGGCCGCTGTGAGCCAATCATCAGCCGGCAGCTGGAAGTTTGCTGGCAGCTGGAAGTTTGCTGGGGCCCCTTTGGCTGTGGCTCTCAACAGGACCAGTCCTGCTATCCTTGGGCTTTACACTTCTCTGAGCCATCTAGTCCCCCTGAATTGTTCCCTGCCTTCCCCTGTACTTTACAAAATTTCATAAGTCATTAAGCCTAGACAAAAAATGTAGTTCCTCATGACTCCCTCCTAAAAAAACAGGAAAATGTTTTCTCATTACAAGTTAAACTTTTAGTTAAAACAAAAGTTTTATTTAAAAAAAAATGTTTAAGTTTCAGAATGGAGATGGAGGAGATTATAAAGATGAAGTAAACATAAAATGAATATGAAGAGTATAAACTTATGAAGGAAGACAATTGTGTCCAGAAAAAGAAAAGGTTAGAGATATTACAGTATAAGAACCATCAAAACATCAGATGGGCAATGAAAAAAAGTAAATATGATCAAGGGAAACTATGTTGCAAACCAGTCTCCTTTATTTTTTTATATTGGCATTTTAAAAGCCCCATTTGGAACTTCCAGATGTTCCCCTTTTCTTCCCACTTGCTCTCTTACCGAAGGAGTAATAGACAAATGACAAATCTATAGCATTTATTTCTTATCACCTTGAACTAGGTTACTTGGTACCTGTTTTGGAGAAGAGTTCTAGTGCTAAACTTTATATTCTGACAATTGTCTGGCTCAGAAGTTGGTTCTACCAAGGGTGGAACTTGCATAACCCCAGTGTACTTCCTAGAAACCTAAAATTGTACAATAAAACCCTAAAATGGGTACAATAAAGTGTATCTGTGTAACATTCAACTTTCAACAAAGCTTCAATATTAACTTGTCAATGTGTTTGTAATAATGTATTCCTGTAGTCTGGTGAGAACAAATGTAAATTGCTACTTTATTGCTCTTCAAATTTTATCTTCTGTCTTTCTTGAAGCTGACCTTATAATTTAAACTGTTCATGCTCCAATGAATGTTCCTGAGAAACTCAGAGTTCATTATTAGTCCTAGTTATAGTGCATCATCAAGAACCACTCTGCTATAGAGGGGCATGACTGTCAAAGTGGAATTCCTGTCACTGAGGTCTTATTATGTCCATAGTGTCTTGGCAGATATTAGAAGACATTTAAAATTCACTTCCTAACTCCCTCATCCCCAAAGCACTTACAGTTCATTTGGAGAGACACGGTAAGCTAGAAAAAATATAATAATATAGCAAAATATGTGATTCAGAGCATAAGTTCTAAAAGAATTCCAAAGAGAAGAAATGATGGCTGACATGATTGAAGAATTTTCAGGAAGGAAGAGAAATTTGGTCTAGATTTTATTTGAATAAAAGGGAACATGGAAATGGCATAATAAGCAGGGAACAATATATTTCTGAAACTCTTAGTATCTGATGAATAGTATGTGCTAATATGAACATCTGAAATAGTTTTTGAAATGAGAAAAGGAAGAAATAACTAACACAAGTTTAAGGAACATAGAAATTACTTACTTCGGGGTACAGTGATGCACACCTATAAATCCCAGCAACTCAGGAGGCTGAGGCAGGAGGATCACAAGTCAGAGGCCAACCTCAACAACTTAATGAGGCCCTAAACAACTTGGTGAGCCCCATCTCACAAAAAGTACTCAGTGATAAAGCACCTCTGGGGTTCAACCTTAGAGTTGCCTTAATAATACTGGGAGCCAAGAATCCACCTTGCTTGCCTG